GAAAGAATAGGTGAACAGAGGATTCTATGGAAATCAATAAGAAATAGGCGAGATAGGTTGGTAGGACACTTTCTCATGCATGAAGGTCTAGTCAGAGACATATTAGAGGCAGAAACAAGAGTTAAAAGGAGTAGAGGTAGACCTAGATTAGATTACTGTTCGCAAATAGTTAAGGGTGTGGGATGTTCTAGTTTTAGGGAAATGTGAAGGTTAGCTTAGAATAGAATGGAGTGGAAGTGCGTGTCCAACCAGTCTTAGAACTGACGACCTTAAGATGATGATGAAATGTTTATTTTAATAGAACCGACTAAAAAAAATGAGTTTTCTTGTGTTTGTCCTTTCAACGATGTACTAATTACGGTGTGCGGGTCAAACTGTCCTTTTGTCGTCGAATGTTTTTTAAAGCAACAACCTCAACATCCTGATTCTGTTAATAGTTGTTAATTATTGTTTGTAAAAAAATGGTTTAAGTGATCATTATTGGGTCAGTACACCATCATTTCCGTCCTTGTCCCGAAAGGAGAACTGTCGCATATTATTTACGTATTTTCTATTTTTATGTAAAAAGAGTGCTTTAAAGTCGTAAATGATTTCAAATAGGCCCATCAATTTTCCGATATGATATACGCGAGGCGTGTCGTTTTGGCAACGACAACGGCACTCTCGACCGCGTTGAAAACGCAGTGAAGCCACCACACATTGCGCACAAAAGCACGTGTCACCAGTGTTGCCGGAACCCTTTTTTCGATAATGTAATTAACATTAATTTATTCTTGATGTTTAGATTAAAATTTTAAAATCGGTAGTGACGTATTAAGGATCTATTATTCTTCACTGTGTCACTGGTAACCTTCTTGTGAAACGTTTTTAGGGTTCCGTGTCTCAAATGGAAAAAACTAATCCTTACAGGATTAAAATAATTGGAAGTGGTCTGTATTCTGTCGAAACTGCCAGACGCGGATCGCGATTTCGATCTTTTTGGATCTCGTCAGCGCGTCGCAGGCAGCTCCGATAGAACACAGACCAACTTTTACCTGCTGTCTTAACAGCGCGGTTTAGAAAATACTACAAATGGCGCAGTAAACGCCATCTGTAGCACTATGCTACATTTTAAGCATACGTAATCCTAAAATGTAGCATCGTGCTACAGATGGCGTTTACTGCGCTATTGGTAGTATTTCCTTATAGGATTATTTCGTTGTTCGTCTGTTTGTCGGTTTAAACCCTATTTCTCAAGAGCGCGTGGAGATATCAAGTTGAAATTGATGTCAAATACTTGGAGCTGTAAAAAAATCAACCTTCTAAGTCAACACAGAACCTTGTTAATTAAATGTTTTTAGAAACAACTTAAGGTTTTAAGTTTTTGTAGAATCAAATTTGACATAGTGGTGCATAAAATTTAGACATTTCTCGTAGAAATGTCGAAACCCTTAGTAACATGAATAGGCTAATCAGCGACCTGCGTATAAACCCAAAACTTTCTAGGGCGTCCATAACCTGGCTATAGCCCTGGTGGAGACACTTTAGTTCAGTGGAATTGCAGAATCCTCTATTTCTACTTGACATTATCTTATTAACTATAACATTTATGTAATGAGTCCATTTTTTTTATATTCGTACGTGGAATATACCTACAAGCCAAAACTTCAAGGTATTTTCCTGGTTATTTTCAATGCTGTGAATGTGCCCGAAATTAAAATGCATCGTACCCTCCCAATTTCCTATGATGGGTTTACCCAGTGTAAAAATATACTCAAAATGCATTTTCCTCTTTTGACAACAATTCCGACTAACATCTAAAGTCAAAAGTTTATATTCCTCTAGTAGAAAATGAAGAAGATTTCAGAAATGGGATAATTGCATCAGGATGGTATATTTTTTAAGAAAAGCCCCGCTGTTTCTGAAATAAAATGAATTTAACGGAAATAACCCAGAGAATAACCCCTTCAAGTTTTCCGTATGTTTAACAAACATTATGTTTCGTTAAGCTTAATACAAGTAGCCACCCTCCAGTTAATGTCGCTCCCTGGTATATATTCCAAACTTTTACTAAATCATGGGAGGAAAAAATAAGAAAAGAGCGAATATAAACGAAAAATTAGAAGAAGTGACTGATTTCAGGTATCTAGGTATCTAGGAAGTCAGATAAGTCAGTACGACAGGAGTAGGAGGGATATATAGCAGAGGATAGCGCAGGGTCGAGTCGCCTTCAATAAAAAGAAGTCACTTCTATGCTCGCGACCGGTTAATTTAGAAATTCGAAAACTATTGTTAAATGTGTATGTAAAAGATGGATAGAGAAGGTTCGAAATGAAGGGGTATTAAAAAGAATAGGAGAACATAAGACTGTAATCTATATATTTAATATATACATATGTAAGTCAATAAGAAATAGCCGAGATAGGTTGATAGGACACCTTCTTAGACATGAAGGTCTAGTCAGAGACATATTAGAGGCAGAAACAGGAGTTAGGCGGGTAGAGGTACACCTAGATTAGATTACTGTTCACAAATAGTTAAGGATGTGGGTTGTTCTAGTTTTAAGGAAATACGAAGATTAGCTCAGGATAGAAAAGAGTGGAGATGCGTTTCCAACCAGTCTTAGTATTGACGACCTTATGATGACGATACCTCTACTCCTCTTAACTCCTGTTTCTCCTTCTTATATGTTTCTGACTAGACCTTCATGTCTGAGAAAGTGTCCTATCAACTGTTCTCCTATTATTTTTAAGACCTCTTCATTTCTAACCTTCTACGGTATCCTCATCATTCGCCTGTAACACCACATTTTGAACGTTTCTAACAGTGAAACATAAAAAAGAATGAAATGCCAACAAATAAATGTGTAACAATTTATAATTAACAACTGCTAGGACTACGGACTACGGACTACTCTCAAAAAATAGATTATATTAAAAAAATTTTAATGTATTGTCGGCAACACCGCGTGCTACATATTGTCTCCCCCTTTGGTTTTAACTCAAAGAAAATCTGTTTTCGCCGGAAATGATAGATAATAACCGGCAAGTGCCACCATCGAAGACAGTATAATGGGAGCCTGGTTAGTCGTCGGTAACGATCAGTAGACACATTTACGATTAAGTATTTATAATGTCGTCTTCTGGACAGTAAACGTGTCCACTAATCATACATGAATACAATTTAATGGCGTTATAGGTTCGGACCGTTTAAAATTAGTTTAGTTCGACCAACTGAAAATTTTACTTTTGAAATATCAAAGGATTTCGATGATGTAAAATAATAATAAACCCCGCTCGGAGCACATGTTGTTTTTTTAATAATATTTTGACTTCTAACGGATAATATATTTTTTTTTATTAATATCATTTCAAGTGGTAATTTGTTATTTTTTAAACAATCCGGCTTTTTTCACAACACAAAAATACAATCATGACTCGCTGGATAAAAACGCTGAAATGTGCGAAACATGTTAGACGAATTTCCCAGTAACAGTACCAGAAACGTCGATGTTATTAGTCTATACCAGGGGCGCAACAAGGGGGGGTCCACGGGTGCCCGGGTACCCACTCGATTTGGGTTGGACACCCAGTTAATTCCAGTCGGTTCAAACAGTTCAAGTTCGTAAATGAACAGCCGAAATGATCTTTTTTTTTTAGTCGTCTATAGTATTATGATGAGAGTAGCCGAACTTGTTTTTTTTCGATTTTTCCAATTATTTCCATTAATGACCTTTTTTTT